GGAATTAGCTAAAGAAAATCAAATGCAGATAGATGAAGAGTTAGCTAAGCAACTGAAGGCTAAGGAATTAAAGTCTAAACAAGAGATGCTTTGAAAAAAGAAATCTCCAGAGATCTCGACTGAAGAAAGGAGTACATGGCATGATAAACAATTTAGAGTGTCTTCACCTAAAAGAACTATCTTCTTTAACCCCGATAGAGATTCCTATCAAAAGGTAAAGGTCATCAAGCCCACAAATTCCTTCACACCTCCTTCAGACCTCACTAAAGAAAACTGGGATATTCCTGCACCCCCGAATGGTATGAAGTTTAACTTATGCACAAGTGCAATTTATCCAGCTGAGGTTGATTTAGACATTGAAGACCTAAAGATAAGATTCTTTCTGAAGAAACTAATTCAAGTTATCCCTGTATGGTCAAAATTCAATATTTCTTCAATCAACAAGATTGACATACGAAAATTTAGAAAAATGCCATATGCATTGTTTCAAGGAAGAAGGATAGACAACTCTGATTTCATGTTTTCTGAAGTTGATTTCCCTAGAATAAACCTAGCTGATATAAGGTCACTAATCATTTGGTTGAAACAAAGGGTGAGTACAGATAAAACTTATGCAGATCTTCTACAATGCCTAAGGAAATATGTGCTCGACATGGTTATTGATTTCAGTGTTGACTGGGAAATTGGACAGCTAGGAGAAAACAAAGCTGAGGAAATAAATGTGAATCTGAATATGGAGAATGATTCTCCTGGGAACATTCTAAAGAAACCACATAGAGGTCTTGTATTCTATTCTAAAGGTCGACTAAAATTCATGAGAATCTCCCTAAAACATCTATTCTCTTCTGATTTCATTGAAGGCATCATCGGTTTATTGAAGAGAACAGGAGATCAAGAAGAATCGCTGAGAGTGAAGATCGTTGAAGAACTTACATGGTTTTTGAGTTTCCGGAAATGGTTAATAAACTTGAGAAACAAAGTTTATATTATGTTTTTTTTTGTTTTTTTTTGCTTTTTTTTCGAACATGTGGATGATGTTTTTGCTACTGGTAATTTATCATATAGCTAAAATTTATCTTGCGTGTTATTACTTTTATTTCTACTTTTATTTTTACTCCTTATTTTAGTAACCATCACATAGGAGGAAACTGTTGGAAAACATTTATATGTGATTGTCACTTGAAATAAGTTGAGTTATTTTATTAATCTTTCTAACAAACATTATCAGAATGTTTCAGGTTGGAAAGATGTTGAAGATAACAAGTGTTTTAAGAATCAGATGTTGGAGCACTTGAAACTTACATGGAGCACCTGCTGTTGACATGGATCACATGCTGAAAGCTAGTTGGATCATTATGATCTCAGATGGCACATCTAGATCATATGTGGAGCATCAAGACACTGATGGATCATTTGGAATATTAATGGCTCATCAGAAACATTGTTGACTTATTTACAACTCTATGGCTCAACAAGAGTTGATGACTCAACAAGAACACTTGGTGGCTCAACTCAAGTAAATGGATCAACATGATCACATTGATGGCTCAACAAGACTGCACATGACTCATCATGTACGATGAAGGCACATTCAAATGCTCAAAGGAACATAAATTTCGTCCATGGTCTATCATGAACATGTGGTGGTACATCTTCAAGTTCAAGACATAGTCGAACATTCAAGAAACTACTCAACATGATCAACAACACTTCTAGAAGTTGATGACGTCTAAGAAGACAGATGATGACTACTCATCACTTTTTCAATGTTGATCAAGAAGGTTCAAGAATTATGAAAACTCATAACTTGGATGGAACCCTAACAGAATACTAACGAAATTGGAATATTCTATCCATTCTCCGTTAAGTAGGGTAAAGGTGTCAACTGATGACTTAGTCATGACGACTTGTCAACACCTGATTGATCAAGACATGTCATGGGCTTTTCCAAAGCCTATAAATAGGCCCCTTTGGATCCATTATAAAATTTCTCTTCCTTGCTCATTTCAGATCATTCTGCACAATTGTTGTTTCGATTAGTCTTCAGAGAGCCTTTGAGTGTGTTAGCTTGTCTATCATTCAAACACTTGTAACTGAATCTTGATGAATATGAGACACTTTTGAATCATTGATCTTGAACATATAAAAAAATGTTTTTATCATTAACTTTGTGATTCAGAACTCTTTATTTTCCGCATTACTTACCACTTGATGATTCTGAAACTTTGTTTTAGTATTTTCAACACTTGGACTACTCTAGTGTAGGTTTACTGAATTTTCCTCATTTCTTCACATCTTGCCAAGTCGTTAGTGGAGCGTGTGTGGTTAACCGACACACTAACTTAGACTAGTAAGGGTGGAAAATGGTAACTTGTAGTTTTTCATAGATCAATGGAGTATGTGTGGTTAACCAACATATTAATTTGGTGATAAATGACTTCGAGAGTACCAAGCTAACTTTCATGGTTATTCACACCTTGTTTGTGATCCTCGGTATCCCAATCACAAACTTGAAGGGAGTAATCGAGAACAAACTTGCCATTGAAAAGTTCAATGAATCTCAAAAGTTCTAGGAGTTTCATTTAAAACTAAATTCGTTTAAAATTTCATTTTCGTGGTGGAATTGGTAAATCATCATTTACCTATCGAAAAATAGTTTGCAATTTGATTACGGCATCCCTCTTCATAATTCTAAATTATTGTGTTCGTTCCTATCCTTAATATCTCATTTGGGTGTTATATTAATGACTTAAATCAAGTTAACTTGAGTTTCTAGCTTGTAGATGTCTAGTTCATATAACTATGGTCTTCTCGAATCTTATGCAAGAAGTTTTCATCATGAAGATGACGTTCCCAGAAGTCATACTTCACTTCCTCCACCTCCTATAATAGTTCTCCTTAACTTACATGTTCAAATACTTGAGAAGTTCAAGGTCAATCAAACCCTTTTGGCTAGCAAACACCAATATGGAAGGTCTGTGTGTGCACATGTCTTGGAGATAAAGTCAAACATTGACATGTTGGGAATGTTAGGATACATTATGTCAAGGAAGTTGGATGTCGACTTGGTTCTTCAGTCACATCCCAAGACGTATAGTTAGTTTGTTACATACTACTATATGACAGACCGTGATGTGACCCTTGTTAATCTTACCTATGTGCTAACTGCTATTGAATCAGAAATGATTTGGCACACTGGTCAAGCATATTTAATTGGAACATCTACCTCCCAAACATTCGTGGACCTTGGAAATGGAAACATTGGAAGTCGAGAAAAGTCTTCTCTTCCCAATGGAAAGGGATCAGCAATGGTCAAACCATTTAACCTAATGGTAAACAGAAAGACTAAGTCTAAGGTTGTCCAACATCCTATTCCAAAAGAATCTATTTGCTTCTATTGTCCAGAGAAAGCGCATTGGATGCAAAGCTGCCGTATCTACCTGAAGGATACAAGGATGGTAAATTCGAAATGTTTGACTCTACTTCAGGTAAGTCAACTATCTAACTCTATTAAGTTCCTATTTGGAGATTCTTAATACATGATGTAATTTAATTACATTTTGATTTTTTGTAAGATCAAAGAAAAGAAAGGAAGCTTAAAGGAAGAGTAAGTTGAATCTGATTGTGAAGAAATAGATTTCGATCTCATGATTCGATGATCAGATTTTTTCACTTACTGCTTAGGAGTTATGATAGATTGCTTAGAAATATTTAGAAACATAGTTTTCATTTGTAATAGCATTGTAAGGACAAGATTTTCCACAATTTTTATAAATATAGAAAAAAATTGAAATTTATCTAATTTTATATTTCCTTGCAATGACATTTGTGAAAATTGATGTTTGTATGTTTCTATTGTTAGCAATGTTGAGAATGGATTTGATTTTTTCGTTTGTGGTAGTGTCAAGATTTACCAAATTAGGAAAGATTCTTATCACCAAAGTTTTAATTAGACAGAAACTTGGAATCATGCAACTTGTAATGCATGATGAATGATAACTTTCGTCTTTGGGAAATTAAGACTAGTTCCTTGTTCACATGCATATGTGAGCCAAGTAAAGGACTAGGGAATCTAGTACAAATTGTTTTGTACTTTTCCAGGTCTAGCACAAAAAACAATAAGACTATTCGTCATGATTTACTAAGAGCTTAGTGAATATGGTTTTGCTGACATGATTAAGTGTAATTTTGAATCTTTCAAAAAGTTTCAATGTATAGAAGAACGAATAAGAAGAATCTACTAGACAGAAAGATAAAAGTTTCTCCAATATGAAAGGAAAGGAGAGTACTTTAGTATCGTGTTTATGATCATCTTAATAATTATGAAAACCATATCACAATTGATCCTTTAAGGACACCATAGTGCACTTGTATGGCTAAGAAGAGGTATATGTAATTGTTGAAATGGTTAAATAAAAAAGATGAATCATACTTCGTTTCAAAATCAAATCTTAGAGTTATACTCCAAGATGCCTTGAGTGACATATCTTAACTAGGTTTATAACACATTTGAAATTGGTAAGCTGTGATGTCTTGGATAAGACAAAGATCATCTAAGACCAACTGAATGAAGTATCATTCTTGATAAAAATCCGCACTAACTCTTGAATATTTGTTCGTCAAGGAATGGTTCTTGACAAGAGAATCTTATATGTCAAGCGGGCAGTGGGACTCTTAAAAACCTTGAAAATCTTCACGAACTAATCAAGAATAAACCTATTGTTTATAACTAGCACACGAGTTGAGGTTTGTAACCAATCATGTTGACATATTCTTGTTTTTATGCCTGTTCCAGTTAAAGTTGACCATGCATGTGAGTTCTATGAGTTCTCAATTGTTTGCATAAGGTAAAGCACCTTGATGAGTGAAAGTTTGTTGATCAGTAAGGGTGATCTGCTCAACAACTTGGAAGACATGATAGGCCCTTATGCTGCCAAGTGGAAAGAAATTCAGATTGAGTATGTTCAGTCCATATGATTTTGATTTTGTCATAGACCTTGTCTTATGATAATGGTTCGAAATGACATTTTCACATGGATAGGAACACGTACACGATAAATCTAAGTGAAAAAGGTTTCTCTCCACTTCATGAAAATGATAGTGATGAAATGCTTACACAAAGTAGATTCTAAGAAGATAGCAGTGGTGTTCATTGCGTTCTCAAATTCGATTATGATTACAACATCCCTCTTCATAGTTTGAATGTGAGAAATGGCAAATAATTTGAACATTCGAGACTTCTTGTTGTAAGTTTTAAAATATTTTAGACACATATATGAGCTTTCGAATAAAATGTGTATGATTTAGATAAAGGCTTATCAAAGAATCTCGTATTGGAAATCTGAGCTTTGGAAAGAAATTCAATAAATATTGATTTCTAGAAGTCCAGTTGATTTCTGAGCACATGTCAAAGCTAGTGGGAGCATAAATATTATGCTAATAAGTATGTAATTATTATCCTTGTGGGAGCATAATTGTTATACTAAGTATTGCGAGTCAACAATGCTATTTATAGGAAACAAAGTTCTATTTTGCAAAATTGCAAAGATTGAAAAGTTGTTTCGCTATAGTAAAGGGAGAGGATACTTATACTTTATTTCGAATCTACAAGTTTAGATTGAAGTATTAATTAAACTTAGTCATGAGCATATATGAATACCATTTTAGTGTATTTCAACATTGAAAAATCTATATATGCAATTATTATAGCAAAAGAATGTTCAAGTATCATCTCTTTACGTAAGACACTGTAAATCTTATTCCATATGCTTCGGGTATAGGATCGATTGCATGTGCTATAATATTCACGTGTTCTAATTTTCCGAATGCCTAGTGCATTAAGAGGGATAAAGTACTAGAACTAGATATGACTAAAGTTATTAAACAACACTCAAGGACGATCTAAGTTTCGCTAAGGATTGATCGCTTGTAGTTGGAAGTATAGTAATGGTTGGATCATATTGACATTATTATGAATAGAGAGGATTCTATTTATAATGAGTTGTCATATAGAAAATATGGAAATATTTTCATAACGGGAGTTGGATATTAAGAATCTATGTGAGTGTT